GTAAATAGAATAGAACAGAACAGAACAGAACAGAATAGAATAGAATATATGGAATAGAATGGAATGGAATATATGGAGTAAAGTAGAGTAGAGAGTAGAGTAGAGTAGAATGGAATGGAATGGAATGGAATGGAATAGAATAGAATAGAATAGAATAGAATAGAATAGAATAGAATAGAATGGAATATATGGAGTAAAGTAGAGTAGAGTAGAGTAAATAGAATAGAACAGAACAGAACAGAACAGAATAGAATAGAATAGAATAGAATAGAATAGAATATATGGAATAGAATGGAATGGAATATATGGAGTAAAGTAGAGTAGAGTAGAGTAAACAGAACAGAACAGAACAGAACAGAACAGAATAGAATAGAATAGAATAGAATAGAACAGAACAGAATAACAGAATTGGAATTTTTCTTCTAGTCCAAATCCCTGCCCAGGCAGGAAATCCTATACATTTTAGACAAATGGCTATCCAATCTCTTCCTAAAAGCTTCCAGTGTTGGAGTCCTTCTCTTCATCAAACTAGACACGCCCAGTTCCTGCAACCATTCTTTATATGTTTCGGCCTCCAGTCCCCTCATCCTCTTGGTTGCTCTTCTCTGCACTCTTTCCAGAGGCTCAAACTCTTTTTTTACACGATGGTGATGCAGAATTCCAAGTGATCTTTTTTTCACCCATGAATTTCATTGTGTTGGATAGTGCCCAGCGTTAAAAATTGTCAACATCCTTCTAGATCTTGAGCCTATCTAAAGGAACCCTTGTACGTCAAGGACCACCTCTATACGTAGTCCTGGACATTAGGACTGTGATGGAGGCTGACCATTATGGTCATACATCACTGACGGTCCTAAAACAGGTCTGTCCCACTCAAGTTAAGTTGGGTCAAATGTCCCTCAGGTGATGTCCCAGCCTTCTTGCATAGATGATGAAAGATGATGATGATGATGCAATAATATGAGGATGTGTGATGATGACAGGTGCCTTTCTCTCTCTCTCTCTCCCCCTCCCCTATTCCATATATCTCTCAGGGAAGATGGACACCTTCAGCACTAAGAATTTGGCTCTCCAAGCTCAGAAAAAGCTGCTGAGCAAGATGGCCTCCAAGAACGTGGCCAGCATCTTCATCGACGACACCAGCAGTGAGATCCTGGATGAGCTCTACCGGGTCACCAAGGAATTCACGCACAACCGCAAAGAAGCCCAGAAGGTCATCAAGAACCTGATCAAGATCGTGGTCAAGCTGGGCGTCCTGTACCGCAACAAGCAGTTCGGTGTCGAAGAGCTGGTCCTGATGGACCGCTTCCGTAAGAAGGTCCACACCTTGGCCATGACGGCGGTCAGCTTCTACCAGGTGGACTTCACTTTTGACCGGCGGGTCATGTCCAACATGCTCAATGAATGCCGTGACCTCCTCCACCAAGCCGTCAACACTCACTTGACCGCCAAGTCCCATTCTCGCATCAACCACGTCTTCAACCACTTTGCGGACTACGAGTTCCTCTCCGCCCTCTACAGCTCTTCAGAGCCCTACCAGTCCCACCTGCAACGGATCTGTGAAGGGCTGAATCAAATGTTGGATGAAGGCAACATCTGAAGAACCAGATGTGTTATCTTTCCAAGACTCAACGGCGGACTCCTTGGCTTAGGGTTTTCCCCATACCTCCGGATCTGCTTTGGACCCAATGGAGTGGTTATTTTAAGAATGAGATTGTGGTGTGTGGTTGGTTTTTTTTAGTTGTGGACTGTTTCAATTTAGGGTTTTCCCACTGTCCTCTCTTCACGGTCTCCAAGGAACGAAAGGCGGGCGGGGTTTACAGAGGTGAGATTCAAAATTTTTGAACAACCAGTTCTAAGAGTGTGGCTTAGGTGGTGGGCGTGGCTTGGTGGTCATGTGACTGGCTGGACATGGCTTGGTGGTCATGTGACTGGCTGGGTGTGGCCAGCTCAATATCACTCACATCGAGGCAGCCATCTCCTTGCCTGGCCTCACATGACTGTGGGGATGCTGCAACAGTCGTAACTATGAAAAAGGGGTCATAAGTCCCTTTTTTCAGTGCCATTGTAACTTCGAATGGTCACTCCACACAAGCAAAGTACCTGCAAAAGAGGGAAAGCAGAGAAGTTCCTGAGACAGGAAGTCTAGTCCCGCCAAGAATGTAATAAGGGTTAACGGAGAGGCAGTTTCTGTAAGCAACACCAGAATGTTTCCTTCCTGCCTTCCTTACAGGATTAGACCAGTAATTTCTTCTAACAACCGGTTCTCTGAACTGCTTAGAACGTTAACAACCGGTTGTAGTGAATAGGTGCGAACTGGTAGAATCCCACCCCTGGGTTTATAAAGGTTTTTGGTGGAAGGCAACCAGGGCCAACTCTGATGGAGATCACACTTGGAGATGACCTCCAGATTTGCTTCTGAACAGAACAGAATGACAGAGTTGGACGAGAACTTTGGAAGTCTTCTCGTCCAACGCCCTGCGAACAAACCCCTGGAGATCTTAAATAAGGAGGGTGTTTGCCTCCCACTTGGGTTCCCTCTTCACCCTGAAAGGGCTGAAGAGGTAGGTGACACAGCAAGCTGCTTCCAGACCGTTGTGTTGTCTTTGCTAATGACAGCATCACAAAGCGAGGAGGGACCTTGGAGGTCTTCAAGTCCAACCCCCAACTCAAGAAAGGTGGTCCAATCTCTCCTTTAAAACTTCTAGTGTTGGGAGCGCCCACAACTTCTGGTGGCAAACAGTTCCGCTGGTTTATTGTTCTCACTGTTAGGAAATTCCTCCTTAGTTCTAGGTTGGATTTCTCTTGGATTAGCTTCCATCTGTTGCTTCTTATCTTTCCTTCTGGTGCTTTGGAGAATAGCTTGACTCCCTCTCCTTCTTTGTGGCCGCCCCTCAAAAACTGGAAGACCGCTATCACGTCACCCCCCTAGTCCTTCTCTTCTTCATTAAACTAGACATACCCAATTCCAGCAACCGTTGTTTATATGTTGTCCCCTAATCACCTTTGGTTGCTTTTCTCTGCGCTTCTACGTCTGGTCTTCTTCGAGAACAGAAGGGGCATCTGTGGAAACAACTAAACCAAAGATTTAAAATGGTCGGGCCCAGGGGTGGGATTCAAAATTCCCAACAACCGGTTCACTATCGGGGTGCAGGGTTGGGGTGGCCATGGTGGGCGTCGCCTCCGGGAACTTCCGGGAGGGCTGTTTTTTTTCGCATTTCCCAGAGTCTGGAGGCTTCCCTCAGGCCTCTGGGAGGGCAAAAACAGGCTCCAAAGGCCCTCTGGAAGCCAGAAACAGGCCCGTTTCTGGATTTCCGGAAGGCCCGCTTTTCGCCCTTCCAGAACCTCCAAACCAACCCTGCATCCAAAATGAGCCGCGTGGAAACTCTTGGGAGGGGAGAGGTGGGCAGGGCCAGCCGGTCGATTCAACTACTGCCGTGATGGCGAACTTACGGCATGCGTGCCACGGGTGGCACGCAGAGCCATTTCTGCAAGCACACAAGCTACAGGCAAACGTACCTCACTGAGCATGCGTGCGCCTCACAGCTGATTTTCGGCCTGTTTGAGGCCCTTTTCGGCCTCCCAAAGGCTTGAAGAAGGCTTCTGCAGGCTTTGCAGGCTCAAAACTAGCCCGGTTTTGTCACTTCCTGTTTTTCCGAAAATACCGGAAGTGACGAAACGGGGTTAGTTTTCAGCCTGCAAAGCCTGCAAAAGCTTTCCTCCGGCCTCTGGGAGGCTGAAAAAGGCCTCAAACTAGCCGAAAATCAGCTGTGAGGTGCAGTGCAGGTAAGGGGGTGGCGGGCTTGGGTGGGTGGGTTGGGATTATGCACTGATGCATGGGGGTGCGCGCATTGCCTTTTGGGTGCTGGCACGCTTGCATGTACAATTTTTGGCGCAGGGGCCCAAAACGGTTAGCCACCACTGAACTACCGGCTCGCCGAACCAGATGTAAATTTAACATCCGGTTTGCTCGAACCGGTCTAAACTGGCTGAATCGCTTCCCTGCTTGGGCCTCCTAACTCTAGAAGTCTTTCACCGATCTTTTCAAAGATCTCCTTTGGCCAAGTGGGACCTTCTTGGTCTTGCTTCCCAGCATGGCTGGCATTCAGAGGACCCTTAAAGGTCCAAATGTCTACTTCCGACCATCAGTTCTTTCGGCTCGGCAGTCAGCAGGACCTCCTGTGGAAATGCTTCAAGTTGGAAGGAACCCGGAGGGCATCCATCTGATCTCAGAGAAAAGCTGCACTGAAGCCCCGTCTGTAAGATAACTGTCCAGCCTTCAATGTCAAAAATCAAAGGATTTTTTCCCCCCCTGGTAACTTTCATCTAGATTCAATCTCACTGTAATTTGATTCTGCGCCCTGGCCGGTGTTTTCCAAACTTGACCACTTTAAGAAGGGTTGACTTCAACTCCCAGAATTCCCCAGCCATTATGATTTAGGATGGGTAGATTTCAACACCCAGAATTCCCCAGCCAGCATGCTTTAAGATAGATGGACTTTAACTCCCAGAATTCCCCAGCCAGCATGCTTTAAGATAGGTGGACTTTAACTCCCAGAATTCCCCAGCCAGCATGCTTTAAGATAGGTGGACTTTAACTCCCAGAATTCCCCAG